ATTATTATTATTATTATTATTATTATTATTATTATTATTATTATTATTATTATTATTATTATTATTATTATTATTATTATTATTATTATTATTATTATTATTATTATTATTATTGTAGCATTCCATATAGCCCTCAGTTCCCTATAAGTAAAAGGTGAAAAATATTTTAGAAATGCCATAGAGTTAGTTATACACTTCCCCTCATATCTTCTTATTTTTCACCTATTGAACTTGCTTTTTAGTAAGGTCGGATGTCGCCTATAGACAAATTTGAATCCAACAAAAACTATTTTGATTCTCACACAATAAAATAACTCACAAATACTATGCTCAAACTTAAATTGAATATCAACCTCAATGAAATTAAAATATTTTGTAAGAAAATTTTATGGACTAAAACTTCCTCGAATAATTTGTGAATATCATATAAATGATAGTTTTATTATACTATAAACTCAAAAATGAAGTTAGTTCACAATGATTTAAAATAATCTTAAGGGTAAAGCCTAAAAGTTTTTAATTTTTTTAAATTTATTTTTGTTTTTAAGAATTATTTTAAAACTTATGAAATTAAGAAACCTAATTTCTAAAGTTTTTTCATTATTTTAAAGTAATTTATTACTATTGTACTAATTATTATTAAACTATGTAACATTATTTTATATTATTTAGTATTTTTAAGGCTTCGATATGTAGTATTTAAATTATATTTATCCATTTTTGTTAGAAGTTAAAATTATGTTTAACTTTACCTAAGAGTTCGTTATGCTTAACTTTAGAATGAAGAATGTATTTATAGCTTTTTGTAGTGGTGGATGTAAACTTATTATAATGAAAGTAGTTTTTTTGTATATGTTGTGGGTATTGTTGGATCTGAATTTATTCATGGATAATACTCAACCTTACTAGTAGGTCGACTCTATGAGCATGTAGCCTCAAACCTTTGTGAGAAAGGGGAGAATGAGGAATGCTAAAAAAATATAAAACAAGTACTCAAAAGCTCAATAAATCCAATAAGATGATCTGAAAAAAAAAATGATAAAAAGTAGTCCCCGAATGTTCATCTTTATCCCTTATTTATAGGATTCATAGGGCTATTAGAAATGCTACACAACAAAAAGCAAAAAATTATAATGTTGCACATACTACCTTAGCCACATATAACCATTTTATTGGTTGAGGGAGAGTGGGGAATGCAAAGCTTTGATGATATATCTCCAAGTGAGTTCAATAGTGTTGAATTTCCAACTAGGTGAGCTTCGTGGTGTGGGAGGGCTTGGCAGTGCCTAGTAGGAGTGGGTGATTCTGTGAGCAAGTTTTGAACAAGGGATGCTTGAGGGTTGAGTGATATTTGGGAGCCACTGGTGACATATATTGAACCTTGGATCACCTAGAAGAGAAAAAGAATGAGCTAAGATTATGGAGAAAATGAACTCAGTGGTTGGTTGGTCATTGCAAGGCAAGCTGAGGGCTTTCTTGGTAGGTGTTTCCTGTTGCTGGACTTGGATGTGTGGGGACGAAGGCACCCACCATAGATGCAGGAAAGTTGTTGTGATGGCTGCCTCCTTTGCATTAGACGAGTGGCGAGTGGCAAGTTATTTGGTTGACGAGATTCTCTATTACCCTCAAGCTAGAGTGGCAACCATCCTCCATAGGCTCGAGTGAGTGGGGCTTGATGTTCATTGGGCGAGTTCCTCTGTGGGGCTCATTAGATGCTAGTTCTCTCCTTGTAAAGTCATCATGATGAAAGTAATTTTTTTGTAAATGTTGTGGATATTTTTGAATCTAAATTTATTCATGGATTACACTAAACCTTACTAGTAGGCCGACTCTATGAGCATGCAACCTCAAACCTGTGTGAGAATGTGGAGTATGATGAATGCTAGAAAAAACTATAAAACAAATACTCAAAAGCTTAATAAATTGATATGAAAAAAATGAGAAAAAGAATAAGTCCTCAAATGTTCATCGTTATCTTTTATTTATAGAGTTCTGAAGACTACAAGAAATGCTACACCATAAAAAGTAGAGAAGTATAATGTTGCACATACTATCTTAACCATGTATCACCATTTTATTGCTTGAGGGAGAGTGGGGGCTGCAGAGCTCTGATGATTTGACTCTGAGTGAGCTCAATAATGCTGAATTTGAATTAGGTGTAGTGTGGGAGAGCTTGGTAGTGCTTAGTAGGGGTGGATGAGTCTGCGAGCGAGTTCCGAGCAAGGGATGCATCATGGTTGAGTGTTGTTTAGGAGCCACTAGTGACCTATAGTGAGCCTTGGAACACCTAGAAGAGAAGATGTCTGAGCTGATAGTATGGAGAAAATAAACTCAGTGGTCGGCTGGTCATTACAGGGTAAGCTAAGAGCTCATTAGATAGGTGTTTCATGTTGTTGGACTTGGATGTGTGGGGACAAAGGCTCCAACCACAGGTGAGAGCAAGTCGTTGTAATGGCTGCCTGCCTTGCATTAGACGCGAGTTACTTGGTCGACGAGATCCTCTATGACCCTCAAGAGG